AAAATATATAAGAGAATGTAATAAAATGATAGTCGATAAACAATATAATTATACTTGCTTTATCATATACATCAGTTGAATAAATCTTATAGTTAACAAACTAACATAATAGATTTAAAAGTATGACTAAATTGAGAGAACATGTAAATAATAGGGATCAAATGTATGATTATATCAAAATATTTAACTGCTATTAACGACAATTAACTCGGGGTGACCACATCTTAATTAAATAAAAACGAAAGTGACAATATCTTATATTTTTTTAAAAATCAGTGACCGAAAGTGAAGAAAACACAAACAAAAGTGATCATCTATGTAATTAACCCTATATTTTTTGAAACATTGAGGAAAAGTTGACAATTACAAATATAAGTGATCAATCTTATTAATTATATAATATATAAACTTTTTATAGAAGGAATATTGTATCTTTAATAAGGATGAAATAACATATTAAATTAATAATAATTTTTATTTAATTTCCCAATTATTAACAAAAATTTATTTTTGTTATTCTCTAATATTTTTAAACAACAATGTTAAAAAATCAAATTTTCAATAAAATTATATTCATTATATATTTTTAATAAAACTAGTATTCAATTAGGGATGGCTATGGTTCGGGTAGGGTTGAGGTTTCGATCAACCAATCTGACTTAAAAATATATATCATCCACCCAAAATCTGATCTAGCCCGAGTTTATGGCCATCCGAATCGACCTGATCTGAAATAAATATATTTATAAAAAATATTATTTTTAATCAATAAAAATAAGGAAAAATTGAAAAAAACTATAGAAGGTTAGTATTATAACTATCCCTAATAAGGTAAATCTACATTATTTTCAGGTCAAGTTGAATTGGGTATGTTCACCTTAAACCTGAACTCTACCCGACCAAAATTTGAATTTTTTAAAGAAACTTGATCCAATCGAGTCGAGTCAAGTCAAAACTCACGGTTTGAATCTCGTGCTCATCCCTATATTCAATTAATTCATGATATCAAATAAAAATGTTATAATAAATAAATATGTACTATATAATGTCTAGGGTAAACTACGCATTTAATGCCTAAACTATCAGTTTGATCCGTTTTAGTATCTAACTTTCAATTTTTTAAAAATCCTACATAACATTTAGTTTTTATTTCATTTTAGTACACCCCCGTCAAAAACTTAACGGACGAGCTTGCTGGTCGGCACGTCAACAGTTGTCGGATATCGCATTCGTCAGTTGATGAAGCCCAAACTTTCCAGTCCACACCTTTTCGACCCCCTGAACGTGATTTCGACCTCCGTTTCACCTGAGAATGCCTCAATCTCCCCAACTTGATGATGAACTCTTCGACTTCTTCATCATTCAATCTCTACCATCAACCATCGGATGGGCTTGAAACTAGACTATATTGGTCGACTCGTCGTTCTCTCGCGATCTATCATTCAGATTAGTCATCCGCCCACTGAAGTTATGCCTCGTCAGCCCATCCGTTAAGTTTTTAACGACATGGTACTAAAATGAAACAAAAACTAAACGTTAGGTGTGATTTTGAAAAAAAAATAAAAGTTTAGATATTAGAACCGATCAAAATTGATTGTTTAGATACTAAATGTATATTTTACCCTAATTTTTAAGCTCAACAAATCGAATTAATGTTTTGTTAGTAATTCGGTGTAAGTACAAGATACTATCTATTTAAAAATCTCAACCATTTGACATGGAACACTTACATTAAGGGGGGGTTATCAAGCGAGTCGATCGTGAGTTGGACACTGCTCGAATCGTGCTCGTTAAAAAATTTTGTTGCTCGACCCAACTCCTCGAGTATTGCTTGTTAAAAAACTTGTTGTTTGTTAAGTCATTTACCCGCTAAGCCCGTTTCTCGCCTTGTTGCTTGTTTAATTCTCTGAAATTTTTACCTTATTTTCTTAATTATAGGTAAAACCTATTTATACTATACAAAGCTTAATATAAACATAAATTAATAAATTTAACAAAAAAATTATCAAAATATGAATCAATTTTAAAGTCTAAACTCTAAATAACAACACACAAATACATTAAAATAATAAATAGGGGTTGATTTTTTTGTATAGTAAAATATTAATTAATAATTTATTATTTATTAAAAAAACAATAGATTAGCTAGTTATTATTATTTTATCATCAATTAATAAATTAATAATTTTTTTGAATGATTTTTTTAAAGATAACTACTTAAAAAAAGTATATAAAAATTTGTAAGCTACTCGTGAATTTATCAAGTTGAGTTAAACTTTGCTCAGTTCAATTCGTTAATGTCTCGAGTCGAGTTAACTCAAATCGAGTTTTTATCGAGCCTAGTTCGAATTGCTCATGAACTGCTCATCTCAATAAGTACATCTAGCTCACACCCTTACATTTCTAGTACTCGAACTTAAGACCTCAAAAATAATAACAATTACTTTACTACTAAGATCACTTAATTCGTGAATTAGATTGACGATGAACACGCCAATTTTTGCTATCGAACCTATTCTAATATATGTACAACTCTGGATTCAATTATAGTTGAATTTTATCAATGTCAAATGGTAAGAAATTTGAATTCAAATGATAACTTTACTTTTTTATTATTTATATTTTGGTACTATCCTCGATCGTCTATATTTTTATTTTTTTTATATTTATATTGCATATTTTGTTTTTCCAATTTTTAGTAACTATATTTTTATGACAAACTTTATTCTGTATTTTAATATATTTTCGATCGTTTGGTTTTTTTTTCATTTAATTTTCTTATGATTGAATTTGAAGACGCTTCGACTGATCAATATAACTCTTATTTATTATCATGTTGATCTTTTCTATTTTGGACCATCAAATTAGATTTTGATATGCAATTTGCATTCGAATGTAGTTTTCTATCAAGCTCGACTCTCATTTGAGATTGTCATGGTCTTCCAATTATTTGATCCCCTTTGTGGTTTGTTTGTCGATGTGATTAGATATGTTTGTATGTATTGTTTGTTCGAAATTTTTATGAGTTTTTAACATTTTAATTGTATGATCTTTATATAATCTCAATTAGCTAATTTCTTTGGTTAAAGGTTATAAGGATATGTCTTAATCATATGTTCGTTCTAGTTTGATATCATCTCTTTTTTTAATAAAACCATCAACTTCTATTTGCATAAAAATTTATTTTTAAAATAAAATAATTTTAATTATCATATTTAATTTTAAATTTAATTATTATCATTTCATTAACAAAGCCTGTGGAGTGCTAGAGGATATATATATATATATATAACAATCCCAAGATAACATCTCAAACAGTCTTAAAAATTCAACCTAGATTCAGAAGACAAAACAGATAAGGTTGCCTTAAAACACCATTCACATCTTCAGACAACATATGCAGGATAATCATGAAGACAAGGGGTTGTCAGTGCAAAATTAATCTAGTGAAAGACGCATCTACTTGGATCTCTGCCTAATCTTTCGGCGCTTCCTCTTCAGCCTACTCATGCGCTTCTTCTTCTACTTGGGTTAGGGCTTCGTTCTTGATTTGCAGAAGATCTCTTTTGAATTGCGTATCCATTAGATTAGCTGTAATGGTTATTTCTTACCCTGCAAGGAACTTAGTTTAATTAGTTCATCCTATTAGTTATCGAATTCTGCCGGTTTTGGTTTCCGATAACGACTATTCAGAGATTCCGATTTTTGTTTCTTTTACGTTGATTCTTGCATTTTACTAACCTTGAACTAATGTCTTTTTTCTTCTTCTTCTTCTTTTACGTTGATTCTTGCATCTTACTAACCTTGAACCAGTGTCCATTTTGGTTTATGTTTTTAGAGATCAAGTGCACAAGATGTATCTTCTTCGTAGAGGTGTTTTCTTTTTACCTATGTCTTAATTTATTTGTTTTAATTTTTATATTTTTGATTGAATAATTTTTCTATATTTTTTTATCTAACTTGAAAGGTTATTTTCTTCTAGTTCGAGTTCGAGCAATAAATATTCATGAAAAAAATGATAAAGTGTATATATTTATTTACATATATAAATAATTTTTTATTTGATATATGGGTATACAAAAAATAATTTTTTATTTGTTTATATGAAATAGATAAATCGATAATAAATATAATTTATTAAAAGGTATTAATATGTAATGTGTAATGTGATTTAAGGTGTCATACACTCTCTGTATCTCCTTCCGTTAAGGGAAGCAATGCATATGATTGAATCATGATTCAAGATATTGGTGGCAATATCAAAACCTTTACCATGTATACATTGCCACAAAATTTACAAATTGACCAAGCTGAGAGAGAGATAATGTTCAGAGGAGTATTAGATTGCATAGTTTGGGGAATAAAACATGTTTACGCTAGTACAGACATGTCGGTTACCTTTAAACTCTATAACACTAGAATTTTCACCAAACATATTATGGACGAGGAAAAGAGATTTCAGTAAGTTATTAAAATTAAAAATTTAAACTTAAAAAGATATTATTTTATTTTTTTCTAATATCAATTAATTAATTGTAGGTTTTCATTTGATGCAATTGTTAACAATTTTGATCAATGTACATCCGAGCAAATAGAAAGGAACTTAAACACCCTTGCTAATACTACTGCAAGAAGTTGAAGCAAAGGACATGCATGGGCAAAGATTGAGAAGTAGTTGAACTAGGCTAGAGAGGCGGAGAAGAAGATAGGAAATATGAAGAGATAGTTACACAACTAGTATTTTGGCATTGATTCTATTGTACTTGATGATTTGATTTCAGAAAATATTCATTTTTTTGGAGTATTATATATGTTTTATGATTTGGAATTGAAGTTAGAGATTAATTGTTATAATCTAACGAATTTTATTTTATTTCAAATTAAATGTTAATTTAGATAGTTATTATTGTTAACAGTACACAAATTCATTGTTTTAAGTGCTAAATAAAGTACACAAATAAAAGTTAATTCTCATATTTATTCTTTTAAAGTTCACATATATTATATTGAGGCAAAAGAACCAAGATCTAAGCTGTTTCAGTTCTAGCAAGCTCAACTCCAATTTCAGAAATCTTATTTCCATTGAATTCTCCATCTTCTCCATCTTCTTCTTCTTCCTCCTCTTTCACCTCTTCCAACGGTTTGTAAGTGTAAAAGTAAGCAACAAAAATGTAGTAAATGAGATTGAGGACTTGGATTCCGCTAACAAGCCAATAGTAATAATCCAGCTTTCCCCTGTTGAGATTCCTATCTGGCAACCAGTTGTTCTCTCCCGTGTACTTATGAACAAGTGAAACCAGCAATGTCCCTATGTAGTTCCCCATGGATATGGCTATCCAATACAGGGCAGCCGCCGTGCTCCGCATGCTCTCCGGCGACTGATCGTAAAGGAACTCCAAGTGTCCAACCGACATGAACACTTCCGCGACACCGTGGATGCAGAATTGCGGGACTAACCAGAACACACTGATGGGAACTATGGCTCTCGGATCATCCAACAAGTTGTGATGTGCTGCCACGGATTTCCTCTTGGTCTCAACTAATGACGAGATGATAGTGGCTACGATGTTGATCACGAAACCGATTCCCATTCGTTGTAAACATGTGACACCCGAAGGGTGTCCGGTGAACCGTCTCGCTAACGGGACGAAGATGCGTTCGTACAAGACCAGACCGGAAAGCATGGTTAGGATGCTGAAGACCGATAGACTTGCAGGCGGGATTTCGAAGGACGGAGATAAGTGGCGGTCCATGGTTCGAGCTTGTTGGATGACGAAGCTATGGAGGTGAGAGGAGGAGGTGACAAGTAAAATCCCAGAAGCCCAAATTGGCAACATTCGGATTATAGTTTTGAGCTCTTCAATTCTATGGACTGTGACTAATCTCCATAGATTTGGTGAGTTAGGATTAGCAGACTCGGATTCTGTCACTATTGCAGCTTTGTCTAACCATCTGTGAACAAAGTTTGAATGATCAATTAAAGCATTTGAAATTTGAATACCCTTTTTTTTATAAATTCAAAACAAATAGCTTACTGGTATTGATCTGTATGAACAAGTCTTCCATGGACAGTAATGTCTGAATCAAGCTCATTGTTGTGGTACAAGAGCTTGGGGTTTTGTGGTGCAATTTCTTTTCTTTTCTTAATGGCTGCAACTATGACTTGAGCCAACCTAATCAATGGGCTGCCACCTGGTTTCATTTTCTTATAAAGGGGTGAGCCTATGAGGAAGGCAATGATCGATATGATCATTGCAATGGTTGGGATCCCAAGCCCCCAACCCCATCCCACATGTTCTTGGACATAAACCACCACTGTCAAGGCAGTCAATGTGGCTAACCCCATGCTAAAATAGTACCAATTGAAGAAACTCCACTTTCCAGACCGACCCTTCATCGCTTTGTCCGACTCGAATTGGTCCGCTGCGAACGTTACCACACATGGCCTAATGCCGCCGGTGCCTAGCGATGTGAGGAGAAGACAGATGTACAATACCCAGAGTTGGAAATCCGAAGCTTCCTGACAGTTTATTTGTGTGGGGCATGGCGGTGGACGGAGCGACGGTAGCACCGCGGATATGGTGATGCAAATCAAACCCTGCAGCAAGGATGCCAACATGATCCAACTTATGGAAAACTACATTCGAAACTTGAGAATCGAAAAAGGTGAGATAGATTAAGACCAGTTCGTAAAAGATTGAGCCGACGGTGATGGTCCAAAAGCGACCGGCGAATGAATCGGCAATCAGAGCACCGATGAGGGGAGTAAAACTGGATGTTCCGCCAAAATTGGAGAGGGTGTTGGAGGCTTGAACCAGGGGCATGTTTAGTTCCTGAGTCAGGTATGTTATCATGTTGCTATGGAATCCACTTGAAGCAAATCTGTCGCATATTTCATTCGCTGTCCAAATCAAATTTTAATAACGGTTAGTTTTTTTTAATAAATACAATTATTTTAACTCAAATTTTTTTAAAAAGAATAAAAGCAAGAGTTGATTTGATTAACTAAATAACTATATAAGTGTGTGTGAATGGGAATGTTGAACCCAAGTTAACCATATGGTTCCCGTAACATGACATTTAACGGTTTAAATCAAAATTAATCTCATTAAATCATTTACAAATACAATAATAATAAAACTTTTTTACTAAGTATTTAATGATAATTTTTTAGTATGAACGGATATTCCATTTCTTGAAAAAATTAACCTAATATATTAAAATTAGAGATTTAAATAGCGGTTTACTATTGAAATAATAATTGATATATATAGTTGTAGTGGTGTCGTCCGAAACCGTTACTGTATGATTGCGATGCCGATATCCACAATGACCATAATAACACCCGTTATGTACGTAATCACAATAAACTCATCGAAAACATGACCGCAACATAAATCTATACTACAAAGGCATAACTAACATAATAGAATACATGAATACAAACAAGAAAGAATGCGAACTAACCAAGAATGAAAGGCATTGTTTTAAGACCACCAAGCTTCTTGTTGTGGAACTTGCTGTCATCCTCGTCTTCGTCTTCTTCGAGCTTGTTGTGGTTGTGGCCTGGTTTATCGTCCATTGTGTTTGATTTGCACATAGCAAAGATGAGGTGAGGTCCATATATATATATATATTGATGCAACCGAGGAGAGACAGCCACTTCAGCTTTACTTTCACTGTCATTTATGACATCTGATCTTATGTCATCATTTTCGTTCTTTACTGCCTACTCTTATCATCTATTTTGCAATTATTTGTCTCTTAATGGTGTCTCACCAATTAGGCAATTATTACAAGCTGTTAAAGATTGTGTTTTGGAAACTAATTCTATAATTAGATTGGAGTCTAATTGTTTCTATGTTTATTTATTTAAATATGTGAAAATTTAATGATTTAAAAGAAGTTAAAAATGTAAAAAGTGAATATATGTGTATATGTGTGTGCGTGTGAATTTTCTAAAAAAATAAAAGATAAAAGAAGTTCACGCCATACAAAATATGTTTTTACATGAACATCAATCAGATTGGGTGATGGTGGCATATCTACATAAATCTTGTGTTCAATAGTTCAGTGATTATATATATATATTTTTTGTTTCCCTCCAGTTTTAAGGTTTTGTCTTGATTAATTTGGATCGATTTGGGTCACACATTTGATATCAGTGGGTGAGTCTCCCAGAAGAGATTTTTTTTCATACACATAAACTCGAACCTGAGACATTACTTAAACGATATCAAGATGTTTACTACTTAAACGATATCAAGATGTTTACTACTTAAACCAACCCGTTGGTTCAGTGATTACATATTTAAAAAGTTATACTTAAATATTTAAAAATAATAATATTTAAATAATGTATGATTTGAAATTATTATAACTAAAATTATTGATTTTGAGTATGATCTTGATCAGACTCATGCTAGCATGATAATCTAGTTTATGATTTGTCTTTGACAGCTCAAATTTTTAGTATCTAAAATTTCTTTTAATTATCGTAATGACATGGATTTAATCTAATTCATGGTTTGTCTTTGACAACTCAAAATCAATTACTTTATCTATAAAATTCCCAAATCTCACAGTTTTATCGATTTTTAAATATTAAAATATGACCTTTTAAACATATATTCAATAAATAGATGAATGCAATGTCTAAACACGAATGCCACCGCTTAACTTAGTTCGTGTAAACATGTAATTTAACACATATTGTAACAACCCCAACTCCTACCCGGCCCGAATACGAGTCTGATGTGTCACATTAACTTTTCAAACTTTGACTCTTGACAAAATCCAAAGAAAATTTAAAACTTTCATTAAAATAAAAACGATTTATTTACCTAGATCAACCAAAATAACCAAAAATCGATCAGAGCATATTCAACTCAATCACTTAGTACATGCCAACTATATTCAAACTAACCAAACACATTTAACTCGTCTATTTCTGATCTGAAATCTTTGTAAGGGAGATGCTGACCTGTCTTGCTCTTCTTCTTCACTTCTCTTCTCGCTTCTGTAACCTACGTGTGAAACAATCACACGCTAAGTCTATGACTTAGTGAGGCATTTCATTAATAAAAGAACTCTAGGAATACATCATCTCATGATGTCATACCAAAACAATTTAATATTCCATATACTCATATATTCATTCTGTGAAGCCACATATGATTCATTTAATCAAGCAATACACACACCATCATGTCAATCAATTATAATCATTCACATGTACTCACATATGTCATATAACATATAATCACCAATAGCTTATATTTATCATGTCATGTAAACATATATTCTATCAAAAAGACGTACACACTAACAACTATATCATCATCTTCATTCTTATCACTATTATTGATTCCTTTTATCATATAATTTTGTAATTACCATTTGTATAATTATATACCACCCATAACATTTTACAAGGAAACAACCATATCATTATATCATGTTTATTAATATTATCTCTTTATTAGCCCATGGTACACATGTGAGAACTAAAGTTATGCGAGTACATAGAGGTTGTGCACTATGCTGTCACCACAGCTCGTATAATTCCCTCAAGGGGCACCGAACATTCGTTCAGTATTTGTCCCGGAGGACCACTATGTCCCGGAGGACCACTGATTGTTCCGAAGAACCACTATGTCCCGAAGGACCACTGTTTGTTCCGAAGAACCATTATGTCCCGAAGGACCACTGTTCATCCCTCGACTCTTGGCATGCCAACTATACCCTTAGCTCTCATATCACATAACATGGGCATTATTATTTATGTTATCACCCTTTCACATATTCACATGTACAATTCACTTTTCATATGATTTCATAATCATATGTCACTTAGCTTATAACAATTTTCTCGTGTTCACATGACATGTAATTCATTGTCATTTCACATATACACTCATATAATCAAGCATACATACATTTCATATCATTCATTTCATTTCCTATATCCTTATCACATAGCTTATTTTATTTCTCATGTTCTCATGTAAGCACATATATCATCTCTTGTTTACTTATGTTCACATATTCACATCACTTATTCATATCATCTCTTTTAATCTCATATTTATCCTTTTCTATCACATATCACATGTGCATATAATCACATGGTTTACTTTCATGTAATTCATGTTACTTATGTTCACATAGCTTGTATCACTTTGCATGGTTTCACCTAAACATATATATACATCTCATATCACCTATAAATTTATATATTTTATAATTCTTTCACATATCTCACTATGATTTTTCCATATCGTATATCTAATAATAGATTCTTATATCATCTCTTGTTTTCTTTCTACTAATTCATAATCACACTAACATATACTCATACAAATTCATGTCACACATACAATAACATAAATTCAATTTAAATTGCACTCACGTATTCATATAAGCATGTAGTATATTTCCATATGATTCACCCATAAATACATAAATCATTTCACATAACTTATATTAATTGTCCTAATCATTGTCTATCACTAGTCTCATATTTTATTCTCATGTTTTTACATCAATCATGTCACATAAAATATCATATCCACCATATCACACACTGATATTATATTCACATATTAATTACATAATCATATACCATACTATCGGAAATAGACTTATCGCAAGTCAATTTCCATATAATCCTATACAATAAAGTGCACTCACCTGGCCTCACTAAGTTCCGATCCGCTTTTATGATTTCCTTTCTTTCGATCGAATCTTAACTTGATGATCATTCCGGAACTTGTTCATGTTCGATATCTACATAATCACATATTGATACATATCAGTATCTCATTGATATACTTTAATCTATCATTTCTTAGACCAAAAGAAATGTCTATTTCAATTTCCCTTGAAGTGCATCGATGCATTCTACAGTGTACCGATGCATCCCTTAACATGTGCATCGATGCACTCCTTATGCATCGATGCATTAATTACATTCGATGTTTCCATTTTTAAGGGGTGCATCGATGCACTTCATGTGCATCGATACACACTGAACTATTTCTGGAAATTTACCCTTGATGCATCGGTGCACCTTGAATGTGCATCGATGCACATAACCCAGAATTCATTTTTAAGCCCGAAAATCCACTCAAATCAACTCAAATACTTCATCTTTCATCCCCTTTCATGTTCTTAACTCATATACACATGCTTAAACCAATTTATATCCATATAAACCATCTTTAACTTCAAAATTCTATTCCTCATATATAACTCAAGAATTAAACCAACTTTGCAACATGTTTTAATTCCAATTCTATGGCTTCTAACTTCTTAATTAGACCCTTGACAAGTCAAATTTAACTTCCAACTCTAGTTATGAACTCTATTTCAAGATTTCACCCAAGAACCTCAATTTTTTTAATCCCTCCTAACTCCATCATACTTTGATTTTAAGATAACTTAAGCTTTCCTTAAGCTTAGTTATCATCTAATAATCAAAACCCAACCTTAAAATCAACAATTAATCCACAAACAAAGAAACTCACCTTTGGTTCAAGCCTTCACGTATGAAGAAGGAAGAAGAGAAGAGAACTCTGGAAACTTTTTCCTCTTCCCACGTGGTTTCCTTATCTTATAAAGGAAGAATAAAAAATCTTGCTTGTCAATTGACCATTTTACCCTTTAATTCATTCCATAATTACTAAATAACCTTCATCATATATTTCCAATAAATCATTGAACTATTCAATTATCCTACTTTAATCACCAAATTCTAAAACTTACAATTTGATCACTAACCCGGTATTGAGGATGTTACAAATCTCCCATCCTTTAAAGGAAATTCGTCCTCGAATTTTCACTGAACATATCAATAAGAATATATCTTTTATTGTTCTCATGCTACTTCCCTGACTTAATCCATTTCTGTCTTTTCTCTCATTCGATTATGCATTTCCTTTGACATTTCTAAAATCCATATAATGTTACTCATCATGTAAACAGTAACATCTATTCTTATTACTTCACATCACAACTCTATCTCTAATTATCTTATAACAATTACCAACCTCTTATTCCATCATTCTTTAACTCAGAACACAACCTTAAATCTCTTCAAATGTTATTAAACGTATACTTTACGGAATCAAACAATCTTTTCACATTACCCTGCACATTTTTCGTAGTTCTATATCGAACTTATCATCTACACTTCCATATACCCTTTATTGTATCTAATCTTTTAACTCAATCTCTTTCATTTCTTTATTCCCTTATTCCTTTATTTATTCCTTATACACAAATCATATCTTTCCTTTCATATTCACCTACTCTTGTATTATCACCTATACTCATCTCTATGTACAAATCTTCATTACATCTTCATAACTTTGATAACTCATTTCTTATACAAAACTTCATTCTTTATCATTTCTTATACCTGTATTTTCCTTCCTTAAAGTCTCATGCAAATACTTATCTCTTTTTTTTTACATCATAGCTATCTGATCAGAATACATAACTATATTCAGATTCACATCATAATTGATTAACTCAACTTTATCTTTCCCTCCAAACTTATAACTCTATCACCTTTACTCT